ATGAAATTGAAAACAAATTTTGGCAAAAGAAATGCTGTTTGAAATATACGAGGAATTCAAAAATTATTACACATTTCATATTAGCCCTTTTTCTGAGAGATTGCTATATGTGTGTGGATGGGTGTGCCGCCTTAGTCATGCAAATACAATTTAAACATGACCGCCATGTAGGAGACTACGCTGAGAGCACAGCTTCCGGCTTAACAGACTTTCCACTTATTGTACAATCGTACGTATGTGTATATGCAACAACATAAAAAGTTTTATAACTTTAATGAAAAAGCCAGCAGTAGGAGTCACGCGCAACCAAAGAGAGTGAAACATAGCAAAGTTCAAAGTGGGTTAGTCATAAATTTCAGCCACAATTTCACTTTCTGTACATACACACACATACGGGCAACCACATGTACGTACAAGCACACACACACACACACACGTACACTCGCGCTAGAGTGTGCGTCTTTAAAGTCACATAAATTTTCAGCATTTTATCTTGTCGCTACTCTTTTGACTGTCTCTCTCGTTTTGGGTCCCTTCATTTTTGCTTGCCTGCTCATATTTCTTTGGCTTTCAGCCTTTGTTAGTTGGGTCCTTAAGGCTCTTAAATAATAATAAGATTTGGCCAAATATTAAGCAAAATGAATGTGGCCTCTTGTGAGCGCATATGTAGAACGTTAGTTTTTTTTTTTATATCCGAGGTATATATATGTACATATAGTACTTGTATGCGCATTTCATATAATATCTTTAATATATACATATATATACCTATAATATGTTCCACAAGTGTAATTTAAAATTAGTGCCGCCTGGTTTGACCTTTTCCCCACTCAAACTCACGTAACTCGCTGTCATAATTTTTCATTTTGTTCGTTTATGTACAATATATAATATATACATATATGATATATATACGTATACAGTTATTTGTAATAATATACACATTTATGTGGCATGTGAAAGTGGTGAATAACACAAAAAAGCTAACCTTCATATTTTTTTTAATTTGTTATTTGGTGGCTAATAAAATACTCTTCCTAGATTAAGAGATATTGCTTTCTTATGAGGCCAAGGTGATTCCAACTTTTGATGTTTTCGGAATTTCAAACCTTATTAGTTATAAATTATTTCAACTTAAGCAAAAGTAATGACTGATAGTAAATAAACTTTTTTTTAATTTTTCTTTCCCAAGAAAAACTTTGATCGGACAGTTTGTATGACAGCTATACGCTATAATATTCCGATCTCAGCAATTTATTCACATAAAAGAACTTGAATTTGACTGATCAGTTAATATGGCGACTATATGCTAGAGTCGTCCGATGTTTGCGGTTCCATTAAATAAGCAGCTTCTTCTAGAGCAAAATACGTGCGCGAAATTTCAGATCGATATCTCAAAAACTGAGGGACTGCTTCGGTTATGTACAAAGAGGCGGATATGGATAAATCCATTCAGCTTGTCACGCCGAACATTTAAGCGTGCACCTCATAAGGTCTCCGAGGTTTCCTTCTGGGTAACCCAATTTACACTGTTTAGAGTATAAAAGGTTATCGAAAAACCCTATCCGTTTAATTAGAAAAGTTTTTATACCACTAAAGTTTTTGAACTTTTCCCAGCCCTCTCGTGAAGGCAACTGGAATGCTTGTCTATAGTCATACAAAAAAATTTTCGCGATTGGTTAGCATATATCAACACAAAAGGAAGTATCAAATTACCATTCTATATTTTATATTCTTATATAAAAACTTCATCTCACATACATACATCTGTCAGTATCCTTTGGCCGCTTTTCTCTTTTCTTCCCTATGGTCTCTGCTCTCTTGTCGAATCAATTTTTTATAAGTCACAACACGAGTTCAACGCTTTTTTTATTGGTATAATTATAATATATATTAGGTGATTTTACTTATGAGAGTTGATTGTACGATTCGCCTCTGATGTAGAAAACGATTAAGAATAAACACAATTTAAGCCTGTAACCTTTTTATATAGCAATTGTGAAGATCTCTGACAATTTAGGTACGAGAATAGCCTTAAAATGTCTTAGACATCTAAGTGAATTAGTAGTAGGCACCTCCGTACAACCAGAAAAGTAAACAATTGACAGTCTGCATTTTGAATAAATAATAGTCACGAATCGCATTCTACAGCATACATAAGTATATGTAACAGCAAAAGTACACTTTTCATGTAGTAAACTATATACAAACTTCTAGTTTGGCTATATATTACATATAAGAGTATATAAGAACATATAACTATGTAAACGTATAACTTTTTTTACGGAATTAAAGCAATCGTTGCCTACTTGAATACATTTCAGTTCATAACAGTTACAATGCTCTTACGAATATTTGATTTTAGAAAGCATTTAAAGTCACTTCGAATATTTTTTGTTTTGCAAGAAATGGGCGAGTAACCATACAACAAATATGCCAGCAATAACAGGTCGTTATAATGTTGTCTTCTTCATAGCTGACGTTCTGGGTATTTAAAAATAAATTGCTATCGAACAACCTAATATCAAAATAAAACAACATCACAAATCACGCCTCAAGGAGGAAGAGAATATGAAGAAGAATTACGAGAGACTACCATTTTTAAGGTAGTGAGATATATTTCAATCACTTCTGATTGATGCTATTTAGTACTTTCAGATACGGACATGCATATTAGTTTCCAAATATGTAGGTCAAGCAACAGTTTCTAAACGACATGAAAGTACGTATATACATAAATAAGAAATCGAATTTGAAGCATTGCCGTTTTTAAAATGCTCACTTTATCATCATCACTGTCATATGAGTGATGAGTACATTGAATGGCCGTCAATAACATCTCTATTGGGGATTAATTCACAGCATTGATTGAACTGAAATTATTTAAGTGCATTTTAGGTTTTTCGAATTTCAATTTTGCTGCTAGAGCTGTCACGAAGGATATACATATACTTGTATGTATGTAGGTAAAGGTCGAAATAAAAATAAAAACTTTTTTATTTTTTCGTTGAATATAAAGAGAGCTGTATTTATTATCACTAGAATCGACTCACTAAAGTTTAATTTTTAATACCCTTGGATAATCGATTGATACTGATTATCTTTCTAATTATTTTAAGATGAATGAGATTCAGTATAGAAGCGATATTACAAGTCAGCTGATTTATCTGTGGTGGTTTAATGTGGTTTCTTTTAGTCTTTGACAGCAGTAATTGAAATAACTACACATTTAGCTGAACGTAAATGTTTGAAAACATAATTAGAATTCGAGATTAACTTGAGACCATATTGAATATTACGGTAATTAAGTGGTGTGACATTTTGTAAAAATCAAAAATTTTATCCTGACATAAATCGCTTGTCTATACCTTTAACTACATCGTGCTAAAATTTTAGTAGAATATTTCAAATTTTTTTTTAGTTACAGCCTTGTAACCAACCGCTCAATTTTCTTGGACCTGATAAAAACCGAATTTTGGCAGGTCAAAAACGACCAAATTTTTGAGTAAAATTCATTTTTTTAACGCTGCCAATAGTCAATTTTTGATTAATCGTAGGTCATTGTATGGATACTATCTTTACGTCGATAACGGTTATGAACAGAAGTTCGATCCGAAGCTTGTAATACCCCAAAGGAAACGTCGGAGACACTATAAATATATATATTAGTTGATCTAGCCATTTCCGTCTGTCCGTCTATATATGCGCGAACTATTTTCTCATCTTTTTGAGATATTGATATGACGATATGGGACCAATGTGACATAGTATAGCTACAAAAATTACTTTGTTATTGTATGGAAAACTTTTGTATTTGATGAGATATCTTTCTGAAATTTGACATGGATTATTGCCTATGACAGCAGTACAATCTCCGAACTAAGCAAATAGCTGCCATACAATCTGATCCATCAAAACCCCGTAAATGGAAACTTTTTTATTTGACGTGAAATCTTCACGAAATTCGGCAAAGGATTAGTGTCTAAAACAACGGTACTATCTCCAAAGAAATTGTTCAGCTCAGAATATTATAGTATACAGCTGGCTTGCAAACTGACCGAGCAAAATTAAGATAATTTTTTATACATTTTAATACTATAAGAAATGCACTTTTGAAGTGTTTATTATAATTTAAAGCTTGTAGTATGCTTGTCTTAAATATTTTAAGTCGAAAAGCTGGAGAAAAAACGCCACAAATGCATACTTATTTACATAAACGCTCACATGAGTCTTTAAATTTATTTATGCGCGAATTTCAATAATAAATTAACAACAACAATTAAAATGCAACGAAAAATTGTTGCAGGCGTAATTGCGAATTTTTAACGGTTTACCGGAACATTTTCTGTCGGTATGTACTTGTATAAATTCACGTGTGTAAAATTATTGTACCTGCTGGCTGCAGTAAATATGTGAATATGTACATATGTATATAAAACGCCAGCAAATGATTTCGGGTTGATTTGGTTGTTGCAGAGCAGCTGTCGCCAGCAGCAAACGCTCTTCATGAATTTCATATTTCGCATTTGTTGATTTAATGCACTCGTCGAGCTTACGCAAACAAATTCACATGATGACATAGTGCGACCACTACCCCCCATCTCCCTCTTTCCGCTTGATCCGTTGGTAAATAAACAAATTTTTGTTGCAATACTGTGAGCCAACTGATGTAGAGAGGCAGAGATGGAGGGCAGTGATTCACAGCGACAGTCGAAGTATGATGCTGGTGCATGTGTGTGTGTGTATGTATGTGTGTAAGTGAGTGAAAAAATCAAACCGAAATTGCAAAAGGGAAATCGCACAGTTTTTTCTTGTCAAAAATGTGAAAAGAAGCAATTTATTCTACACGCACACACTCAAACCGAAACAGAAAAGCAAACAGTTTGCATATGTTTAAGCGTTATTGTTGTTACTATATGTGTTGTTGCTGTTACCATATGTTGTTGTTGTTGTTATTCTATGTATATACATATATCTGTCAACTCAAATTGCGTACTTACCTCAAAATGTGATTTCCTGCTTTTATACTTTGCTGTGTGCTGTTATTGCTGGCTGCTGGTGGTTGTTGTTGTTGCCGTGGCAGTTGTTTCGCTGTTGACATTGGCTTTTACATATTTGCGGATAATGTTGCACATTTGTGTGCATTTATTGCGCCATTCATGTATATGTATGCGTATTTGTGTGTGTATATGTGTCGCTTGGAGCAACAGCTGCTTTGATCCGCCAGCGCAAAACTACTCCCGTTACAATCGAATACCGCTTGTGAGATCAAATAGCGTACATGTGTGAGTATTAAGGAAATACTAAAAATATCTGCAATAAAAGAGAAGAAGAAGAAATGTGTTTAAGGTTAACGTAATATCAAAGACTAATGCAATTGGCAACGTTGTGACATCTATTGGCAATAAGAAATAGATAAAATATGATGATGTTGGTGGCCGGAAATGGCAAAAAATTGTAGGCAAATCAAGAGTAACAGGATTATTTTGGAATTCAATATGAAAATTACATAAAACTAGACTAAATCAGTTTAATATGATTTATATACATTTTTTACTATATATTTTTTAGTGATTAGGTCAACATTGAGCTATAAAAAAGCCTAATTATATTTTGAATCACAATATATTTAAGTCTAAAAATTTCGATTTTTTTTAAATTTTAGACTGATCTAACTTCTTAATTGAAATAGCTACAAAACTTCTACATAAATATGATCCCACTTGGACAGTTGAGTACGCCAGTCCGTTATGTCCATAACCTTAAACTATGCTTGAGGGCGAGCTCTTGCAGACAACTCCACCTCCAAAGACCTCATTTAGTATACGACCGTTTCTGAAAAAAATTAAAGCGTTCAGAAGCCATCTTAGAAAACCTGTGCCAACTATGAGACTATCAAGTGTCACCGAGGAATAAAAATAATATTCCACACTGCAGAACGATCTCTTCTCAAACCAAAGATTAAAATGTAAATGTTATTCAAACCATTATGAACTTAAAATCAGATAATGAGACAAAATGGACTTTAATTTAGAGAAATTCAAAAATAATATCTCCATGGAAAAATTTGTACATAAATCGGTCTTTTTGTACTTTTTTCAAAAGGCCGCACAGAAACATACATAGAAGGTCTTAAGAGGGTTAAAATGTTCCAAGAACTTATGGTTTAAGAACTTTCAAAACCAGTCTTATTAACGAAACCCATGATGCTATAATATATCTAGTTTCTCTGGAACAAATGTGGCAATAGACGGGGATTCCAAAATAAAAAAATAAAAAAATGCAACGGAGTTAGAAATTATCAACTCCACATATGAGAAAATTTTTAAAACACTGAAACAGCAGTAACACTAGTAACAATAATGGAATGGCGCTCAGTGGATATTAGCAACCATTAGATTACCTTAGAATCTAATCTAATCTTCCTAGTGAGTATTAGAAGTGTGAGAAATTTGGAACAACAATCAGTAACATGAATTTATATATCAATTTTATAATACAGACACTACTCAGACATAGCTTCTGCGAAATGCTTACACCTAGAAGTGATGTTATTTTTAGAGTCCTCACTATATGAATTGATTTAGGAGTACCTTTAGAATCAAAGGAGCTGATGCGGGAAGTTCGAAAATTTAATCGAAATATGCTCAGCAACGACAAAAATTGGTTTTCAAAAGCAAATTTATTGTTTTTGTGTAAAATAAATTAGACCTAGCTATAAATCATTGGGAAGTAAGAAGGGGGTTCACTATTTTTGACAGTTTCAATTTGGAAGGCATTATTTCATTTTCAGGCATGCAAAAGACGGATTTCTTATCTATAAGGTAAATAAAAGAGGACTGTAATAAACCACTTTGAAACCGGTTTGAACTTCGCTACAAATTCGTGGCAAGTTATTCAATGTGATCCGACATTGAAGCACTCATTTCAGCTTAATTTTTTATTGCTAGAGATCGGTAACCAAAATATTAATTTAATATCAAATCAATACGTGTTTGTGTGTAGATTTTGAAACCTCGAATACCTTGTTATTATCATACAATTATCATTTCGATCACTACAAATTTCTTATGTAAATCATTGTTTTCCTTTTACCATGAAATTAGTTCCGCCTTCTAACATGACTTAGGCATTTTTCACCTCAGCCTACATATCTACATAATATAATACTTATGCTCGTATATATAATAATACCAGCGAGTAATAACAAAGCCTTTCTACACATTTTTGCTCAAATTCCAATCTACATTGCTTCTAAGCGTCTTTGAGGTTAGCATTTTAACTGCGTATTAACGTAAAGGTGAAGTGTAGCAATATATATAGATATGTACATTAAATTGTTAATTTGTTTCTGCTTTACAGCGAACACATACATTCATACAAACAAAAACAAAGGCATGTTTGCTCGAATGTTATTAAAAATGCTTTATTCGCCTTGAAGTATTTACATTCTTGCATATAATTTCTTCTTCTGCAATAACAATTACAAAACAAAGGAGCTTCTTCGGATCGGAGTTTGGCGTATGGCCACAAAACCTTTTGAAATATGTCGATTGTGTTAAGTGGGTGTGAACGACCGTAGCCCTCGGCACGGCATTCAATTATTTAGCGTACAAAAGAAAAGTGCCACAAAAGCAATAATAATACAACACACAACAATCAAAAATGGATATGAAATGCAAAATTTATGTATGTATGTATATACAGCTTGACCATAACAAATGAGGTCATAATGGTCGGCCGCTGTAATTAAAGACGGCTGCGGAGTTTGTAGGCGCCAGTTAGAGAAAATCACTTAATGGAGGCAAATTCGTATAGAGAAAGAATGTGCTTCATAATAGCAAGTAAACAACAGATTTTAAAATAAGAAACTGTAATGTAATTAAAACTTATTAAAAAATTAAATTTTTGTGTACTTAAACATCTACTTCGATTTTTTGGTCAATTGAATTTTTGATTAAAGGCTGCCAAGAAATAAAACACAAAATTATGTTGAACGCGCCAAATTGTAGACAATAATTTTTTGCTTACGTAATGTCGCTTACTTTCAGATAGTGATATATACAAATAGAAATTCTCAAGCGGCTGGAGGTTCCACTGATAAATGTATTATTTTTTCTAAAAATATATAGAACAATGATTGTTCTAAAGCAAGAGCTTATAATGTGAACTAGGCACCATTTTATTTAAAACTACATTACTCATAAATCTTAATTAAGAATTTCTCGATTTATACTCATTATAAGCTCCTGCTTTATTGTAATCACTGTTCTATTTTTAATACATTTGAGTTATGGTGTGACATAAAATAGGCGATAAAATTATTGCAAATGCCCCTAATTGTAGGCAATAACTTCTCATATATCTTTTGATACGCGAAATTAGTTTACTTTTAGGATAGTAATATATAGAGTAGACGATAAATTTATTGTAATGAGCCTAATATTAGTTATTTATACCTCATATCATATATCATTTGATATCCGAACGTTGTCTACTTTGAGAATAATAGCGTATAACATATAGAAACATAAATTTTCAAAAGGCTGGAGGAAAACCTAATAAATATATTAAATTTCTCTAAAGAGAATGTAAAAGAATTAAGTCAATGAAATACATGAAAAGGAGCATATGATTTGAGATTTCAAAATGATTTAGTTGCAAATATAATATTTTGGAGTTCTTGAGTTTACTTGCCATATTTGATTCCTTATTCCATATAAAAACATTTGGTAATTGTAGGAAATATTTTTTGCCATATCTCGAGATACACGTAAGTTTATTTTAGGGAAGTGACGAACAGAAAGATATATTTGCAAAAACCTGGAGAATTAACTGATAAATATATACATTTTTCTGAGGATATTTTGAAAGAATGGTTTCTAAGAAAATAAAAATAATGCGTTAAAAGATGCATATGATGTGAGATTTTGAAATAATTGAGTTTCGAATATGATCCGAATTTTTCAGATCTATTCATTATAAACTCTTGCTACAATATATTTTCTTTATTACTATATTTTAAAAGTTTTGATTAGTGACTGTCATAATAACAGGAGATAAAATTTTCATAAGTGCGCCTAATAGTAGGCAATACTTTATGTCATATCTCTTGATAGTCGAAAGGAACCAGTTTCCGGATTGTGGTACATAAAAATAGAAAAAAGCTGAAGGATTAACAAAGAAATATATTCAACAAAACTAAAAATATTGTGAAAGAATAATGCATTCAGAATTCCAGCAGTCTAGGAACGTTAATATGTTACCTAAGAGGGTGTGTGCATAATTAAAGAATTTAAACAATATAATAAGAATTTAAATAATAATAATTTAATAAAACTGAAACAATTAACTATATGCTATTTGAAATATCATTAGAACAAACGATAAAATTATCGTTAATTCGCCTAAATGTAGGCAACATTTTTTGCTGTAACTCCTAATACACGTCAGTTTCCTTCTTTTAGGATAGTGATATGTGAAAAAAAAATTTCTGAAAAGCTCTGAGGTCACCAAATACAAATATTAAATAAGTGTAAACTGTGAAAGACGATATTAGAAATTAATAAAAATATCTGCAATATAAGAGAAGAAGAAGAAATAAGTTTAAGGTTAATGTAATATCAAAGACTAATGCAATTGGCAACGTTGTGACATCTATTGGCAATAAGAAATAGATAAAATAACATCATCATATTTTGTGTCATGGTGTCCGGAAATGGCAAAAAATTTTATTCAAATCAAGAGTAACAGGATTATTTTGGAATCTAATATGAAAATTACCTAAAACTAGATTAAATCAGTTTAATATGATTGAAATAAGTGTAAACTGTGAAAGTCGATATTAGAAATCAAGAAATCGAAAGAAAAAACAAAATGCAATACATACAAAATTTTGTGAAATCTAAAAATAATTGAGTTTCAAATTAACTAATTTTTTAATCATAACTTTGACAAAGACGTCAGAACTTTTTTGAAAGTTCCATATAAATAAAATATTTCAACGCGCATCCAAAAAAAATTGCTTACTTTTCTGTATTTACATATGTATTTTACTATTTTCATCATCAGTGTTCTTCCAGTCTTTTCACTACAGTTGCGTGGTTAGTGAGGCTTTCTCGTCAATTTTACTTCATTTCACAATTTCACTTGGCAAATTATTTCAATTTAAACTTAATCAAAGTAGCCATTCAAAAACCAACTAGTAGCAATGGAAAAAAAGCTAAACAACAACAACAACAATGCAAACTTCAGTTCAGCAACAAAATTAACTTCAATTCAAGGCAATTGAGGACAGTCGTTGGAATTTTAAA